GGGGCGTTATAATGTAACAGCCAATCCCACTGTTCATTGGTAAAAGAGTAGCCCAAGAGTTGGTGGTGGGTGGTGATGACTAGCTACCTTATCTCTAGTTTTACACTGCAAAATTAGGGACTGCTAGTGCTTATAGCCCTCATGTAGCTTTGTGCGAAATTCAAAACAAACAAACCAGTAATGGGCCCAAATCAGCAGACTTGATGGGGGGCTCTGACAAACCCTCACAAAAGTAATTTTATGGGCACTTTCAAGCATCAGTGTAATGGTACCCTTCAGATGTGAAGAACTTGCATTAAACATGTTGGTTGTTAAAGAGACTAAGTTTATGTACATGTTTCTTAGGCCCTGTTCCCTGAGTGATCTTGAATCTCTAGATGCTGAGTTTTATCAGTCTCTGTTGTGGCTAAAAGATAATGATATCTCAGACATGGGTTTGGACTTGACTTTTTCTGTCACGGAAGAAGTAGCCGGCCAAATTGTAGAGAAGGAGCTGAAATCTGGAGGCAAGAATATAACAGTCACTGAGAAAAATAAAAAAGAATACATTGAAAAAATGGTAAAGCGTCGCCTGGAACGTGGGGTGGCTGAACAAACTGAGTCATTAGTCAGAGGATTCTATGAAGTAGGTTGTCTGGATATTATTTCCCATTAGAGAAAAGTTGTTCTGATTTATAAGTTATCGGTGTTCTTTCTATTGTCAAAAGATTGTGAAAATCAGCTTTTATAATCTTATTTAAAAGAATATAGTCTTAATATAAGGATTTTATCAGTCGAGTCTGTGAAGTGTGTTTCTTCAAATTTTCATTAGCCAGAAGGTTCCTTGAAGTACTTCCTGACTTTTTTGCTAGTCATGAAATTCTTTGAGAAGTCTGTAAGCATTGTCATTGAACATAAGGATGATTTATCATCTTTAAACTATTCATTATTCAGAATATTCTTTGTAGTGTTTATCTTTAATTTGACATTAGTCAGAAGATAGAAAAATAGTTACCTTTGTCAAAATAATCTGTGAAATGTGTGGTTTGTTCTTTGAAAAGCGTGTATCTTAAATTTTTGTCAGTAGTGAGAAGATTCTCTCATTTCATGGTTGTCCTTATTTAGAAAATTTTGTGGAGTTTGTATTTTTTAATTAGGATAAACATTTTCAGCATTCAGAAGATTCTTTACTGTGTGACATTATCCTTTTTAGCTGTCCAAATATTTAAGATCTTGCTGTTTATAATTACATGCTAAAAATAATTTTCCATTGTTGGCTAGTATTAGTAACCAGAAAAAATTTCCAAGCAGCATCAACAAAGGAAGGTACATTTACATTGGCAAAATTCCTGTAAATTATTTTTGTTTGATTAAAGCAATCTTTTGGTGACATGGATGTGTGTGTGTGTCTTTATTTCAGGTCATTGATCCTCGTTTAGTCTCTGTTTTTGATGCTCGTGAGTTAGAGCTTGTGATAGCAGGAACAGCTGAAATAGATATTGTCGACTGGAGAAAAAATACAGAATATAGATCAGGTAGTTAATATTGTTGTACATCTGTTTTATGTTGTTGTTGTTGTTTTTTTCTTGTTAAAGCTTTAAGTAATGATCATACCATTGAAAGTTTCAGAATGTTGTGATTAGTGTGAGAAATATAAATTCTAAAAGGATGGGCATAATCAGTCAAAATTAACTGCGATATGATAGCATAGCCATAGAAAGTTATTAATTCACTTTACTTACAGGGGCCTGGTGATTAGGGCACTAGACTTGCAATTTGTTCAAGATCAAAAATATTCTTTGAACATTTTCACCTTGTAATGTGATGGTCAATCCCCCTATTCATTGATAAAAGAGTAGCCCAAGAGTTTGCAGTGGGTGGTATTGGTGAGCTGCCCTCCCTCTTGTCTATCATTTTAAAATAAGGGATGACTAGTGCAGATAACTCTTGAGTAGCTATGCATGCAATTCAATAAACAAACTTTACTTGCAAAACATTTTTGTTTTGTATGACAGAAGGCAAGTTATGGACCAATATCAGTGTAGTGTTTGATTTATAGAAATATATTTTTTTTAATCCCTGAGCATATTCTGAAAAGAAATTTTGCTTAAATGATTTTCGTCTTTGATATTAACATTTAACCAAGTCAGATCGCTTGTTTTGTTTTATATTCCAGAACAGTTCAGTTTCTAATAATACAGTTTATGATATTTAGATGGAGTTTCTTGCAACATGAATGAAAGCTAAACCTACGAGAAAAAAAGACTGCCATTTTTGTGTGTTATTTCACTGAATATTTTTGCAATTGATGTAATGATTGCATAAACACCCTGAATAAAGCTGTATTCAAGTACTCGTGTTTCCTGGTGGGACAGCGGTATGTCTACAGGCTTACAATGCTAAAATTTGGGATTCAATTCCCTGTGTTAGACACAGCAGATAGCCAAATGTGGCATTGTTGTAAAATAAACAAAAAGTATTTATTTTATTTATTATTGTTAGCACTATATTGATTAATGTTTATCAAGTAAACATAATGCTAAATGCATGCTGTGTTGTTAGTCTTATCATTAAAGTAAACATAATGCTAAATGCATGCTGTGTTGTTAGTCTTATCATTAAAGTAAACATAATGCTAAATGCATGCTGTGTTGTTAGTCTTATCATTAAAATTCTGCAATTCTTTATCATCATTTCTTCAAAAGGAAGCTGAAGGCTGGCTGGAGGGGTCACCTGTTTTAACCACTTGCATCATTATACAGTAGTGTGTTATCTGTAAGTTAGTCAGTAGACACTAAAATGATATCACTTAAGGGATGCTTAATGTTGCAATTTGTACTGTCATGATGTCAGTAAAACATGCACATGCAATGAATCATAAGAAGAATTATGTACTCTGTAGGCTACAACAGAGCATGACATATGAACTTGAAAAGCAAGAAATAAAAATATTTATTTTTCTTAAATTTGGTTTTACTTACTCTTGAAACAGAACACTTTCAGGGACTCTGTGCAAGTTAATTATAATATTTATGCTATCTTCTACTAATAGTTAACAAAGCTACTCTTATCCTTGTTGGTCATAACTGACTGAATAGTTAAAATAGTACACTTTAGTCAGTTGCTTATTTTGTTGATAAATAACAGAAAAATACAAAATAATTTTATGCAAAATTTGGAGATTTTCTTCATGATAAATCTCAAAGTATTTATTTTATTTTTATCATATTCTCTTCCTTTATAGGATGATTTTAGTTTTATGAATTTTTTTTTACTCTTAAGCCTGAGTTTATTATTATCCAAACTTTACAATATCAAAGACTTTCTTGTCATCTATGTGTTTTTATAAGAATTAAAAATATAAAAATATCAATTTTGTTTTTGAAAATTAGGTTTTACTTAATTTTTGAAATGTTACAAAACAATCCAAGCTATGGAAAATTATACATCATAGACAAATTTTTATTGCTTAACATTTGAAATATTACAAAAAATATCCAATCTAGGAAAAATTGTACATCATAAACACATTTTATATTGCTTACTTTGCCAAGATTTCATGCATCTAACTTATCAGAATTGTGCATTACATTTTGTCAGGTTACCATAACAACCATCCAGTGATCCAGTGGTTCTGGACAGCCATTGAAAAGTTTGATAATGAACGTCGTTTACGCATGCTTCAGTTTGTGACAGGAACTTCTAGTATTCCATATGAAGGCTTCTCTGCCCTACGTGGAAGTAATGGGCCACGGAAGTTTTGTATAGAGAAGTGGGGAAAACCAACCAGCTTACCTCGGTAACTGTTTGTTATTCATAATTATTTAATCACTAATTTTATGCTTGGAAATTATATTTTATATGACTTTAAATAATAATAAATCATCATAAGAAAATGAAATGATTAACACTACAAAGTGTTTTCTATGAGGGCTCTAAACAGTTAAAGTAAGTATTTCCATTACACTTTGTGTTTCCTTTTAACTGTATATTTCACTGTATTGTTTTTATACATCTCTTTAGCTTGCAAAGTCTTAACACCAAAAGGCACTGTAATTTTATGGCTAACTTAAAGAAGTAGTTATACTCACCTTTACCAGACCTGGCCTCATAGTGTATGGAGTATCATGCTTTCTGCAAGTTAACAGTACCTATTCATGCACTATTCAAATTGAACTGTATAAAATACGAAAAATAAAGGAATTCAGTAATGTCTTCCAAAAAAAAAAATCGGTACACCATGTGGAATTCCAAGAAGAACTGCTACTGAGTTTAGGTGAGTATAAGAATAATTGCACCTCCTCAAAATCTCACATGATCTTGTCGATGTACATTTATAATAACATTTTTTTGATTACCCGTTCAAGATATCTTCAAACTTTTATTTTATAAAAAGTGGGTTTCTCGTCATCAAACTTAGAATCTCACAGCCTTTTGTATTGGCCATAAAAATTCATAAATCTTGGTAGTGTTAGTCTGTTTCAAGTACATGTGGTTATAAGAAGGTAAAGAGCAAGCAATATTACATTCTTTATCTGTATGCTTGCTAATGAAAAATGTTTTTCTTTGCACTCTGTTATCTATTTTATTCTACATATACAATAAATTGAATAAAAATAGTCGGGTCATGAAGAATTTAATAGCTTTTTTAGAAATTCTCTAATGTGCATTTTATTTAAGATGCATAACAAAGATTATTATGAAATATGGTAAATCCTAGAAATAGCAGATCAGTATAAAAAATGATGGAGAATAATGAGTGATATTAAATGTTGTGGAAAAACACTTTGTTTTGCTAATTTTGATTCTTTCCTTTTATTTGTAGAGCCCACACATGTTTTAATCGCCTCGACTTGCCTCCATATACATCATTTGAAATGCTTTATGATAAGTTGCTTCTGGCAGTGGAGGAATCAAGCACCTTTGGGATTGAGTGAATAAAATCTAGACACCAATTCTAAAGTTTCTTGGTCATTCAAGGAGTAGCAAGGTTTTGTTGTATGTTATTGTTTTCTGTACTCCTGTTTGTAGCAGTGCTGATGAACATCCATTGCTAAATACCTGAGCTATGCAGAACAGAAGACATGCTGACATTTATTTTGGACAACTTAGTGAGGTTATTACTCTAGTGGTAAATGGCTGCCTTCCATAAGAAATGTGCACCTTAACTTCCATTTTATTTTCAGCACAGAGTATTATGCAACAGTCTGAAATTTAGTTCTGAAAGTTGGAAGTAGATTTGAACAGTTTTGTGCACTAAGTAAATGTGATGCTCATTACACATACTTTTTATCATTGTTATTCTTTTCAAACAATAATGGATAAAACGTTTCTTTTCACACATTAAAAAAAAAAAGAGAGAGAGAAGTGTTCAGAAACCTCTGCAGCTTGATAATGATCTGTGTATCCATTCTTTATTAAAGATGTTTTTGAAATTTGAAAGTAACCTTTAAGGAATACATTGGAATTTTACAGTATCTAACAAGAGAAAAGTTGGAATTTTTTAACGAGTGATAGAAAATATTCCAACTGTCATATCAACTGTGAAAATTAATAGTGAATGGATTATAGTACAGTTATGAAATAAAATTCTAAGGCTTATACTGCAAAAAATATAGTTTTCAGATGGTTTCAAAACTGTTGGTACATTTATAAAATCAAACCAAATTGGAATTCCGTGACAGTTAAAAAAATGTTAAAATGATTTGACAGTTTTCAGGGTAAATTTCTGTAATAATCATAAAAGAAGAACTAAAAATTCTTTCAGAGTGGCCAAGTAGTAAATTTGGGAAAACTGACATTCAAAAAGAAATTGGAATAGTATATCAGTTATCAAACAAAGCTTTGAGTGGCTGTTAAGAAATTAACCATAAGACATGCAATATTTTTAATCCAGGTTACACTGTAAAAGATGTATATAAGTATTAAACATATGATGCATTCACAGATGTGTTTTACTGTGAATGATGTCAGCCAAGATATGGCACTCATGAGTAAGAGATTCAGAGAAGATTGTGTGCGACAGTGTCGAGACTAATTTTGTTCTAAATGTATTTATAGTTAAAACATTCTTTGGTTAACCACAACTTATTAGAAATTAATTGTTTTCTTATGATAATTGAGATCAGGCAAAATGCTCTTGACTTCAGGCTTTCACTTGTATTTGTAATTTTAGAGGCTGGAAATGATTTATGTTTATACAGGTTTTATCTTTTTTTTTTTTTTATGGATTTTGTTTTAAGAACCTGAATTAGTATCAAAGTCAATGTCCCAATCCTGTCATTTAGAATTTAGAAAATAAGACATGAGCTGAAAGCATACCTTTCTTAAAAAAAAAGTACTGTTTTCTTAATTTTTAAAAAAATAGGATAATTTGATTTGAAATAAACTCATTTATTGCTTTCAGTCAAGGAATAACTATTCAAGAATTTAAAACATTTTATTTATGTATTATATTCATTTGACAAATCTGTCATAACCATCACTATGAGAATGCTATGATTTTTGATAAATCTTACTCAGTGTTATTATTAACCCTTTATCACCTCCACCCATATATTTACACATGCTACACATAATCTCCACCCATATAGTTATGTCAATTATGGTAATGGAAAAAAAAAACCCTTCCATGGATGATAAAGGATTAATTCATAAGCCTTGTACCACAAACCATTACTTATTCTGAACTTTGACTATATATATATAAGCAAAAACATGAGGTTGTGTGTGTGTGTAATAATTTTTGGCTCTTTCACATGGTTAGTGTTTTTGTTTTGACCAACTGTCAGTTAACAGCTACGTATATACCTGTATGATACTAACCCATTAATGATCAGCTATATTTACGTGTGAATTACGTTGATCAGTTAATCATCGTCATTTGTATGTACTTGTGTGGTATTGAGCAACTAATTATCAGTTCCACATATCTGTATGATATTGATCAGTCTCGTGTATACTCTTGTTCAGTTAGTCATTAGTCACAAGTACCTGTATGATACTATGTTGTTCGTTAATCAGTTTCATGTATCTGTATAATATTGATCAGTTGATCATCAGACTTATGTACCTATATGATATTAAACATCAATCACATGTATCTATATAAAATATTGATTGATTAGTTAATCATAAGCCTCATGCATCTGTAAGATATTGTTTGTTTTATAATCAATCACTTATGTCTTTGATATTCATCATCATACGAGTGATAACGTTTGAACATGTGATGCTGCAAAATGAACCAATTTAATACTTGAATACTAAACAAATTCCTTATGACATATAAATAAAGGTTTGTTTGTTTTTTAACTAAATCTGTAATGCTAGATATACAGTGTACTATCAGGTCAGTAGTCTTTCATCAGTGAGTGAGTGTTCTCATTACTTAAGTGTTTGAAAACTACAGTGAACATTATGTTGGTGTGAAAATTAAAAGGAACTTTTGTTCTTCAACATTGGATTATAACTATGTTTTTGCTTACATTGGTTACTTTAATACTACACAAATGTTGTAGTTTTCCAAGTTTAAAATTGTGAAGAATTGATTACAAAAGTAACTGAGTCAAACAAATTTGACCCACATGTAAAATCTGGATTACATTTACTTTATTGGTTGTTCCTGTATGATATTGATCAGACAGTTATCAGCCGTAGTTATCTGTAGATAATGATACTGTTATCATAAATTACATTTACTTTATTGGTTGTTCCTGTACGATATTGATCAAACAGTCATCAGCCGTAGTTATCTGTAGATAATGATACTGTTATCATAAATTACGTTTACTTTATTGGTTGTTCCTGTATGATATTGATCATACAGTCATCAGCCATAGTTATCTGTAGATAATGATACTGTTATCATAAATTACGTTTACTTTATTGGTTGTTCCTGTATGATATTGATCAGACAGTCATCAGCCATAGTTATCTGTAGATAATGATACTGTTATCATTAATTACATTTACTTTATTGGTTGTTCCTGTATAATATTGATCAGACAGTCATCAGCCATAGTTATCTGTAGATAAAGATACTGTTGTCATTAATTACATTTACTTTATTGGTTGTTCCTGTACGATATTGATCAGACAGTCATCAGCCGTAGTTATCTATAGATAATGATACTGTTGTCATTTACTTAATTGGTTGTTCCTGTACAATATTAATCAGACAGTCATCAGCCATAGTTATCTGTAGATAATGATACTGTTATCATTAATTACATGTACTTTATTGGTTGTTCCTGTATGATATTGATCAGACAGTCATCAGCCATAGTTATCTGTAGATAATGATGCTGTTATTATTAATTACATATGCTTTATTGGTTGTTCCTGTATGATATTGATCAGACAGTCATCAGCCGTAGTTATCTGTAGATAATGATACTGTTATCATTAATTACATATGCTTTATTGGTTGTTCCTGTATGATATTGATCAGACAGTCATCAGCCGTAGTTATCTGTAGATAATGATGCTGTTATCATTAATTACATTTACTTAATTGGTTGTTCCTGTACGATATTAATCAGACAGTCATCAGCCGTAGTTATCTGTAGATAATGATGCTGGTATCATT